GACCAGTCCTTCTTTATTACGCCTTAGGACACCATGCTATCTTTTTGTGTGATCGTATTCATGATTATTGCCTCTTTGCTCCGGATCGATCAGGACTATCATCATAATCATTATCACCAGCGATAATGTACATCATCATGCTGTTTAGTATGATTCAACACGCGCTCCGCTATCTTATGAAGTTACGGAAAATAAGCTGCGTATTTTGTACTTTTATGCTGTTTAAAGCAGAAGTTAGGGTTTAGAATATGGAAATATTAAAATTTTTGACTCGTCGTTTATTAAAGATCCTGAGAGACCATTCTTCTTCCCCCGCATGACTGTGGTGACAATGACAGTGAGGAAACTAACGTTAACGATTATTATGGCACTGATAATGTAATGTTACGAATAAAGTTGATGATTACGAGCTTGGCTAGTATATGATAACGATGTCGACGATAGTAGTGCTCATGGAGATGTTAACGAGCAGGATGAAAATGCAAACGAGTTTGTTAATTATAAATTGATGATCATCGTGGGGACGGTTGTCATGATAACGATGAAAAAGATTATGGTGATTATCACTACGATTTTTTGGATACTTATGGTGATAAAAACGATGATAATTATCATGATGATGGTCCCAGCGATGATAACAGTTATTAATAAAGTCACTTATTTGGACAAAGTGGTTTCTACTCTGTTGCAATGTTGCATTAGGAAAGTAAAGAATTCCATAGCTGCTTCAAAACTGTCAGCGAGATTTCTACGATGAAAATCGAGTATGACTGCACCTCTTCCTTTTTAATATGAGCTATTAGGATCCTTTATTAGTCTGGTTCTTTATTAATTTTTAAATCAGTTTTAGAGTTTTTCCTTTACCCGATGATTAGGAAAATGGCATAAACGGGGATTGGTGACACAAGCGGGACAAAGGCTGGCTTTGAACTCCGGAGGCATCTGGTTCGAATCCGCCCAAAGGACAGTCTTTGTCTGAACAGCAAATTCCCTTGAGCAAGGTATTAACCCCACGTTGTTTCTGTGCAACCTGTCGAGAGACGGAAAGTAAGTCGATGACTTGCGAATAACAGGAGCATCATGGTGTTTTGGTGTGGTCATACCAGAATTGACGAATTTTACGGCCTTGGTGTGACGTGAGTGCCCAGTATGGCTGCATTTCGCCTTGACCATCTTGATTGCTGAATGTTCAGTGTAATAATCAGCACGCGGTGTAATTTCAATTTCTTTTTATTTCTAAAGTGGGTAAACGATTGTGGCATTCTGTTTAAGACGCATACACACAGCAGTATTATGTTTATAGTTCCGTAGTTTGTAGTATGACTACTTAGGTACCGTGTGACGTTTCCTTGGGAAGTCAGAGGTGTTTGGCTTATTGCGCGATGTTTTGACTGCTTTAGTCATGGAACTTCACTAATGTTGACCTACAACTAATGAATACAATGTTCCATGTCCTTTTAACGAATATCTTTTCACTTCATAGTTGAGGTCGGTTACGCCTTGTTCGTGCACCTTTTCGCTTTATAATTTTTTCATTAATTCAGGTGCCTTGTTTCGTCCGGGACAAAGAAGCTCAGTTTATGGCTCTGAAGTGGATGGTGTTAACAAGTCGGGACAAAAATGGCAAGATTCCTATCGAGA